CTGACATGTTGTAAGTGTTCGGACCAAGATGAACTAAAAATGAGTATATCATAAAAAAAACAAGTACAAAGCGCCGAATGAATGGCTTCAAGACGTCGTTCATCAAAGCTTGAAAGGTCGCCGGGGCATTCGTCAGGCCGAATGGCATGACAAGGAACTCAAAGTGGCCTTGGTGCGTCTGGAAAGCCGTCTTGAGAATATCATCAGGGTGCATGCACACCTGGTGATACCCACGGTGGTCGACCTTGGAGAAGAACCGAGCGCCTCGTAGGTCATCCAAGAGCTCGTCGACGACTGGGATGGGGAATTTGTCTTTGACGGTTGTGTCGTTGAGGGCACGGTAGTCGACATAAAACCGCCAGCAGTCGTCGTGCTTGCGGACCAGGAGCACTGGGGAGGAAAAAGGCGATGTCGACTCCGGATGATCCCATGAGCCAGCATGTCGTCACACTAGCACTCAATCTCGTCCTTCAGCAGCTGGGGGTACCGGTATGGCCATACCGCCACCGGCGCGGAGCCCGGCAGGAGGTGGATGCGATGATCCTGCAGACACTCTAGAGGTAGGCCGTGTGGTGTGGCGAAGACGTCCTCAAAAGACTGGAGCAGTTCTTCCCGCTTGGCACGAGGATCAACAATGGCGCGGGTAGCGACACTCCGACCACCCATGCCGGACCAGTGATGGGCGCGCCCGTTGAACCAGAACGCCATCGAAAGGGCGGCAAAGTCCAGGACAATGGGGCCCAATGTCCGTAGCCACTAGACGCCAAGGACGAGGTCGAATGTGCCCAGATCAAGCGCGAAGCAGTCGATGGTGAAGCGCTCGTCGTGGATCGAGACATCAACTGCGGCAGAGACACCGGGGCTGTGCACGCGATCACCATTGGTGACTAAGACCGAGAGACCAGCACGTTCTGTGATCGACAGTCCAAGACGCCAGGCCACCTCCGAGTGAATGAAAGTGTGGGTAGACCCGGTGTCCACCAACGCCTTGAACGAAACGCCGCGAATGACCACCTGCAGCATCATAGAATCAGAAGGCCCAAGACCGGCGAGAGCATGCAGGGAGATCTCCAGGTCGTTGATGTCGTCCAGCGGGTCCTCTCCATCAGCCAACTCCATGAGGAAGACGCCCCGTGCAGCACATTTGTACTCCTTGTTGTACGGCTCCAGGCAGAAGTAACACTGCCCATTTTGGTGCTTCTCGTTGATCCCATTTTGGCGGAAACGATGGCGTGGCCCCTCCGTCTTGCCGTCCTGTGTAGCAGCAGCAGCGCCAACAGCACTCGACGAGGCAATGGCGCGGCGAGTAGACGACTTGGGCGGCGCCGAGCTGTTGACAGTAGACGCCTCCACCTGCCACTGTTCGTATGCCCGTGCCAAGCTCATGGCTTGCTACAAATTGACAGGGTGCTGCAGCTCGACCGTCGGAGGCCAGGGGCTGACCCAAGCCACCAGTGTAGAGGTCAATCGCGGTTCGCGTGGAGAGGTTGTCACAGCGTGACAGCAAGGCCAAGTAGCGTCGCGAGTACTCTTCCACGGTGCCTGTGCGGACCAACAGAAAGCATCCGGTCCGAACGGCGCGGGAAACCGCAGCGCGCGGGAGCGCACGTCCGCTCCCGAGAAAGCCACAGCGTACGGAACTACGGAAGCAGGTACAGTAGTCTGGAAGCAGGTACGTTAGTATCTCTTCATTTCTTTTTCTTTTTATTTTCTTTTCTTTTTTTTCCTTTTATTTTCTTTTCTCCTTATCTTTTTCTATTTCCTTTTTGTGCTTTATTTTTATTTTCCTTTTATGTTTTATGTTTTTTTATTGTTCTTTTAATTTTTTATATTTTATGTTTCTTTTATTTTTTATATCTTTTCTTTTTTTCATTTTTCTTTATTATTTTTTATGTTTGCATGGTGTACCCGTGATGTTCTATTTTTATCTTTTCTTTTCTTTTTTCTTTTGATTTCTTTTTTATTTATTTTGTTTTGTTTCTTTTCTAATTATGTTTTTTCATGTTTTTTATTTCTTAATTTTTCTTTAAGTTTTTTCTTTTTCTTTTCCCTTTTCATGCACCATTCATTTTTTATTTTTTTATTTTATATGCGTTTATTATTATTTTCATTTTTTACAAATATTTATATTTTTACCTTTCTTTTCTTTTCTTTTCATATTATTTTTTATGATGTTCTATGTTGGTTTTTTTTATGTTCATGTAGTGATGTTCTATTTTTTTTATGTTCACGTCTTATACATGTGATGTTATGTGATGTTTTTTATGTTCACGTGGTATACATGTAATTTTCTATGATATATTTTGCAATGTTCATGTAATATATATGTGATGTTCTCATAGTATATATGTAAAATTTTATGTTTTTTTATGTTCACACAACATAATGTGATGTTCTACGATATATTTAGTGATGTTCACGTAATGTATACGTGATGTTCTATAATGTATTTAGTGATGTTCTATGGTGTATTTAGTGATGTTCACGTAATATATATGCGATGTTCTATAATGTATTCAGTGATGTTCTATGGTATATTTACACTTAGTACACATGTGGTGCTCAATGATGTATTTAGTGATATTCATGTAACATATATGCGATGATTTATAATCTATTTAATGATGTTCTATGGTGTATTTAGTAATGTTCACTTACTACACATGTGATGTTCTATAGTATATTTTAGGATGTTTAAAAAGTATCTATGTGATATTCATTTAATTTTTCTCTGTTATGTGTTTTTATTTTTTCGTTATGCTTTACTCTAGATTTTATTATTTATACTTACGTTATATATTTATTTATTTATCTTTGTGTATATTATAGTACTAATCTCATGAATCTAAAACTAGAACACTGTTCTTCTAAATCGAGAACATTTTTCTTACGAAGACGGAACATTATTCTCTGAACCTAAAACATTGTCTTTGTTCAATAAAAAAAATGTTCTATCTTTATAAGATAAATGTTCGTTAATAAAATTTTATCCAAATATATCCACGATGGGCGGACGCTAGCAGCCCCCGCGGACCAAGGCCTTGATCTCCCCAACAGAGTTGGTGCGGATGGGCGGCCCGAATCGGAGATTGACGAATTCAACGAAACGAGGCCACGAAACCATCCCCAAGTCGCACTTCATCTGGTAATACCACTCCACAGCAGTGCCGTCTAGATGCAGAGACGCCAGCCACACTTTCTCGTCCTCCGGCACGCGATGACCGTGGAAGTAGTTGTCGGCCTTGTTGAGCCACGTCAGTGGATCCGCCTCCCCGTTGAAGCTCGGGAATGGGATCTTCGGCGGACGATGAGGATCACGGCGTCCCTCAAAGTCATCGCGGTAGCGCCCGCCACGGCAAGGCACCGAACCGGTTCGAGTCACGCCGCCAAGCCGCGTCGCGGTCGCGGTCAACCCCGCGGTCGAAGTCGCGAGTGACGTAGCGCACGTCGTAGGTACGGCCGTCGCGTCGCGCGCCGTAGTAGTAGCGTCGCAGCAGCCTGATTCAAGCGCGCGCTCGCGACGCGAGTCGTAACACTCGCGGTCAAGAAGCGCACGCGAGCGGAAGTCGGCCCAGGCGTGATCGTCGATCGGTCCCGTGCACGTCGTAGGTGTCGCGGTTGTCACGATGGACGTCCCCGTCGTCACGGGTGAAGTCCGCGCCACCGTGAGCGTCATCCTCGCCTCTAGACCCGCCCTTGCCGGCGTCGGACTTGCCTGATTCAACACGCGCCAGCCTTGAGTCATGGGAATTGAGGTGATTGGTGATGGTGGTGAGTTGACCCAAGATGCGATCAAGCTTGGCATCCACAGGATCGGGAGTGCCGGCCATGGATGGCGATGCACCGGTGGAGGTCTCTGATACCAAATTGATACGGCGTCGATGAGGAGAACGCAGGGGAGAGTGGAGGAGTAAACTGGACTGAGAGTTAGAGCGCAAGGGTAGCGAGGAAGTGGTGCGGCGGGAGATTCCTTCCTAAAACCGCCGGCCATCCCTTTGCCACTATATGATGTAAACACCTATGTAAACAAAGGCGCCCACAACACTCCATGTCGCAGAAAATTGTGCTATCGCCATTCTTAAGAGATTGGCACATGAATCACCATCATGGGAAACCCGCCCACCTTGGGAGGTTTATTCCTTCTTCGATAATTTCGGATTACAAGCCTATGGTGTCCTTTATAGATTAGAATCACTTTTCTAACAAACCAAATCAATCTACTAAAAATCCTCCCCTTCCTAAAACCGCCGGCCATCCCTTTGCCACGGTTGGGCCTGGGCCAGCACCTATATTGGCGCCCTACAAAGGCGTCCACAACACTCCATAGTGGTCAAAGTGTTTTTTTTATAGAAAAATTGTGCTATCGCCATTCTTAAGAGATTGGCACATGACCTACCACCCATGTCAACTGAATTTAATTCTACAATTTTCATAGGCCCATATCAGTGCTATATATGCATATCCTATCTAGCAAGCATCTCTCTTTTCGATCTACCTTTTTTCTACTAATTCAGTTACCAATCCTCTTTGTGTGGTTCCACTAGAAATGATCATCTCGTCGATAAGTTTTCTAATCGAACTAATGAGGTCACTTGAAACATGGGATAATCTGAAGCATGATCACGAGAGAGAGCTCGTCGATTGAGTCTCGAACTGGGATTGAGGTCATCCGAGGAACATGGGATAATCTAAGGATGATCACCCGTAAAAGTAGCTGACATGTATCTGAAACAACATTCTAAGGCTTGATTCAGGTTAGCCCTTAAACTGGCTAGGCCATCATTTTAGGATGTTGGTAAAAAATTAAACTCGTAAAATTCAGGATGAGATATTCAAAATAAAATATGGGAAAAGGAAACCAATGCGAGATCGTTTATCTTTTGAAACAACATTCTATCCCATGGGCCTAGGAATAGGTGGGCATATTTTCCAAGATTCTTGCAACTTCAATTTTGATAGAAATTTCATGTAAAATAGCATATAGATGAAATGGCAAGATCTCAAACAAGCAACTTAATTAAAATGTCATTGTGTGCACTGAACGCCAATAGTTTGCCACTACATATTATCTGATACAAAATTCACAAAAGCAGTCAGGTTATATAATCATTTCTCACCTTTTGCTGTAATTCGCTGATTTGTTGTGTGAATAGCTGGTCCTGAAGAGATATGCATTGTATGGAAAAACAGTTATACACAAACTCAAACAAGAATCTGAAGGATGTAGAATTCCTTGAGCAGTCACCCTACCTTTGTACTAAGCACTCTATGCAGTCCTGCTTCAAGTTTCCTTTCCATTTGGTGCAATTCCTCTACACTCAATCCCTCAAGGTCTTCACCTCTCATCTGTCTACAGTATCGAACAGTAAAGTCATTTGCTAGCTTCAAGGGTCCCTTTTCTCTCAAACAAATATTCTTTGAATCACATAATCAATATGGAACAAAACATAACCTAAGTCCATGAGTTGCTTCTGCAAGTTGCTCGTTCAAACCAGTGTACTTGCTCTGCTCTACCTGAAAATTTATAAGGGAAAATAGGATTACTATATAAGTTAAATCAAACATTATTAATTATACATATACATACTGTTAATTCTCGTGACAGTAGTGCATGCAAACTACACTTGGAGAATAAGAAGTCCTAGACTGATTAACAATAAGATTGTAAGGAATACCGAGTACTATATGGTACTATGAAGAAACACTTATTAGTTCACCAAGGTGTATCTTGACATATCACGTTGAAGGAAAAAAAAGGATAGCTTGATAAATTTATTAGTCAATTCCTTCTCTTCAGAAGGTAAACATCGATTTTTCTACAGATGGTTATATAAAAGTAATTGTAGACACTAATATTGCTCATGAATAATTGATCAAACAGAAAAGAGTACTTTGCAATCTTTATTCAATGTATCTCTCCTTATTTGAGTATGCCTTCCAATGCCCATATACTCTGATCAATGATACTTTATACTAAGATCTATGAAAGTTTGCATCAGCTAACAATTGGCCAAAGATGCATGAGTTAATCACAAGGAACTACAAAAATGTAGTTGTTGTATGTGGACCTACTAGACTTCCCATACATTTCTAACTTTTTTTACATCTGTCCTTCCTAAATGCTTTACACTATTAGCCTACTAGTAAGAAAAGATCAAGGAAAAAATAAAAGAACGAAAAATATTGCTAACATAACATACATTCAAATCAATAGAAGGCTGCTGATGTGATTTCCCCAGATTCTTAGAATGTGTACTGTACTTGTCAATGATATCATTCGTACTGTTCACAAAAAGCAAAAGCAAACAGTAAATAATGAAAACATATAAAGGAAGCTTAGAATGGCAAAGAGGATATGAAATTTGAAAACACAGCAATATAGCAATGTCAGCATCTTCAGGAGTCAGCTTGAAATGCAGAAGTTTAATAGGAAAACAATTAGGTTCCAGTAGGAATTAAGAAAAACATTCCATGTTGCAACCAGGTCAGGTCAGTACTATGCTAGAGGCATTTGTGGTGTCATATATATCAGTACTCCCTCTGTCCCTGAAAGAATCAATTTCTAGCCCAAAGATGTCTCCAAAAGAATCGATTTCTAGAGGTAAACGGTCCACATATCCACATTAATCTCTCTCGTAATCTGGGTCGCATTTAATACAACCTCTCTCTCCTGCACTGCTATTGGATACTCCAAACGACGATACTTAGTTAGGCTTCTTGGTAACTAAAGAGCTATTAAGGTTCAGCAGTTTAATGAGGGGCAGCATGATCTTTTATCTTCGTTGCTAATCTATCCTAAAGTTGCTAGGAATTCATTCTTTCAGGGACAGAGGGAGTAGCCTCTGTCTAGTCTTTTAGTATTATGTATAAGTCACATACAGTGTTGGACACGGAAATGTATGGATTAAGTGGCATGCATGTATTAATTATCAATCAAGGCAGACATAAGGTAAAACAGCTAGCTAGAAAATCAGATTAAATCACATAACATATACCTTTTTCACTCAAACACACAAGGGATCTACAAGTCTTTGTATTAAATGAGAGAAAAAGAATCGAGTGTAAGGGGGGGAGATCACCCACACACACAGGCACCCAGAAGTAAGTTAGCAAGGCGAATGTGCAACAGAAACTGAAAAAGATGACCAGACTCAAAAAAGCATTATGATCTATCCCAACCAAAGGGTATTGAGTGGCTGAGCCCCTTTGTGCCTGTTAGATGCCAAAGATTAGCCTCATTAACTCTCACAGAACAATCTAAACCCATGGTGCCCCTCCATGAACGTGCAGTTCTTGCAGTGTTTCTAGAGCCACAAGCTCCAAGGGCAACCATGAAATTGAACCCTTTTTATAGAGATTTGTGCAGTATATTCACCAACATGCCTTATTATGACAGCCACAGTAGCAAACATCGAGGCATCTAGATCAGATGCTAGGTTTCAGAGCCCGAAAGCACATACTGCATGCTTTGTAGCATATTAAATCTCATATGAAACACAAATAGATAAATTTGAAACATAAGCTTATCTTGTTAACTAAGAGCATCTCGAAGAGTCTTTCAAAAAATTTACTCTCTAAATCATCATTTGGAGTCATTTGAGTAAAAATTACTTTCTATATCTTTGTACCCTCCAATAGCTATTCTATATCTTTTTTTAACAATAATAGCTGTTCTATATCTTGTGCGCATTCTGGCTAGCGAAAAAACCGGAATAGGGGATGTCTATATTTTGGTGATCCAATTAAAGAGGATATTGTTGAGTACTTTTTTTTAACCAAAATCTCTATTTTTATAAATTATGAAGGATATAAAGAGTCTCTTGGAGTTGCTCTAACATTTTGTTCACTTTTCTCCTCTCTGTAAAATGTGAGTTCCATATAGAAACAAGAACATTGAATTAAGCAAGTGACATATTGGCGACCGTCTTCTAATCTGAAGTACAAAAAATATATATTGGCGAACGCTCATAATCAAACATCTTATAGCTAAGCCGTACATATTTGTATTGCTAATAAGCCACACATATTTATATTATAATAATAGATGTTAAAATTTCTCTTGCGCAGCAATAGCAAATATATGTAAGAGCTACTACCTACAACCTGATGGGTTAATAACCGGAGGCAGCACCAGCCACAAGCGGCAGTACTTGTCCAGAATAGTTTATCCCACCAGCACGAATCACGAAAGGCTTCAGCGGAGGGAATGATCAGGTCTCGTGCATGAGGCAAATCACAGGTACGGCCGTTCTCCATGAGCTCTCGGCCCGGGGAGCACGCCGCTTAGCTTATCAACGACCGCCACACGGTGATCCAAAGTGTTCGATCAGCTCTATCGGCAGCGTTTTTACCGCAGGACATGCGGCGGGCAGAAAATTAACCGGACACTAGAGTGCTCTCGGCATCAACATGTAGTACTACGAGCTACAGCAATCTGCCAATATATTTATCAGCAATTCAGCACACCGTAAAAGAGTAAAAGTAATATGCGAGCTTTGCGATCGGGTCTTGGGGGAAATACTGTAGAAAATTTCCCCATTTCTATGGGACGTCAGGGAGTTCACAGGCATCCACCAGAATCGACACAACGAAGGCTCTAGGTGTTGAAGGGAAGCTCGATTTCAATTCCACACAACGGATAGAAACCGTACGTACTCGAAGAAACGAATTCCCTCGTAATTAAGCCAAACCCTATGAAAGAAGGATGAGAGAGAAATCTGTAGGTAGCCACTAGCCAAGCGCGAAACCCTAGTGCAAGGATCCGAAACACCAAGAGGCACCGTGTTGGTACTTGGTAGAAGAAGAGCCAGATCTGCAATAATCATTTCAAACGAGAAAACACCATGGCGAGAAAAAAAGGTTTCGAAAAACGGCAGATGTGATCGAGGTCGGATGGGCGGAGTGGAGCTGAGCAACGGTAGCTAGCGAAGTGAGCGCGTGCCTGGAGCTCGCGAACTGCGAGAGCTTGCCGGTGGCGGAGAAGACGACGAGCGCGACGTCGGCGTCGCAGAGCACCGCGAGCTCCTCCGCCTTCTTGAACAGCCCGCGCCGGCGCTTGGAGTAGGTCACCTGCCGCGCTGCCGCGTTCTCTATTCGCCGTATCTCCCGCCTCTCGCGCGCCATCTCCCTCGCCGCCTACTGCTCCTCCTCCTCTCGTCCTACACCCACGAATGGCTTTCCAGGAGAAAACCGGGCGGTGGATGCATCGCGAGGACGCGAGGCTCATGGGCACGGCAGCCAGATAGTACGAAAGCGACCCACCAATTGGGAAGGAGAGAAATTTCAATATTTAACCTTAAGTGTACATGTCTGTATTCACGTCCAATTCGTAAGACTTTTAATATTTGACCATAATAATACAAATTCTTTCTATCTTAAGGGATTAGGAAGGATTTCTATCATTTCATTTCTAGTTGTCTCTTTATACTGTTTAGGACACGAGAATTAACAATACTACCCTCCACTCTTATCAGGTGGCCTAGACGGTCGCCGGCGCCTCGGTTCCCTCGGTTTGCGTGCTTTTCTCCCGACATCTTCCTAGCCGACTTGATCTTTGTCGTCGTCAGGCATATGGCCGGTGTTTGATGTGAATTTTTTTTTTGGCTAAGCTAACATCGTGTTAGTACGGGCTCGATGCATGTTAGTAGTAGCAGCAGCAGCTTAATCTAAATCCAGCTAACTAGACATGTGTGATAATGCACTTCGCGTATATGGTATATATTGGCATGCATGACCGGATTGGAGCTGCAGCAGACATCGCGCGCGCAGCAGGCGGGCGGTCAGACGCGCGCTCCCGGCCACGATCGATCGTGCCGCGCGCCGTCCACTCGTCCGATCAATATTGAGACCACGATCGATCGTGACGCGCGCCGTCCACTCGTCCGATCAATATTTGACTAGGCAGGCGACCCGAAGCGACAGAAGTGTGAAAATTGAAAAACTCTTAAGTTTAGAAAGCGATTAATTTTTTTTCATATAAATTTTATTTAATTCCAAAAAAAATATGATGATTTTTCTAAGATATATTAATCATATCAAATCATATTTTTTTACGGAATTAAATGAAAATAATTTTTATATGAAAATTATAGATCTCGATTCAGATCTACAACTTTCTAGTTTTGAGAATTTTTTCATTTGAGTATATTAAGATGCTCAAAAAAAATAATAATATATTGAACTTAAGGGTATTTTCGCTTTTCACACCCGCAGCTTGAGCAAGTTAGAGTCTGAACTCGACGGAAGTGGCATGGACCCGAAAAAGTTAGATAGTGGCACCAAGATCGCTGAATTTTTCGAGGCAGTACTGGATGCGATCTTTATAATAATACGCGAAAAGTCTCATCAATATTTGACTAACGATACAGTGAGAAATTGAAATGCGAAAGCGAGGAAATGAGCCTATTTGGTTGACTGGTTTATATCGTTGCTGGTTTATTTATGTGAGAGAGAAGTACTACTGACTGTTTAGGTGAACAGTACTCACGCAGGGGGTGGCCAACGATAATGCTGGCGGTCTCCTTTCCTACTGGCAGGCACTACTCAAAGGCAACAGGAATTGAAAGCGAGGCGAGGCTAGCGGCGAGGCCGCTGCGGTCTCCTTTCCTATTGGCAGGCGATCAAGTCGAGTCGGGGGCAGGGCACTCACTTGACCGCCGGTCGTTGTTTATGGCCCGGAAATATCGGCCCGCTCCCGGCTGACACGCGGGGCCCCGTAGCGTTGAGGCGCGTCGCCAGGCGAGGCTACGCGCGCTAGCTAGTACACGTGCCGCGTGCAGTGCGGCCACCGGGCACCGGCCAACCCAAGCCCAGGGGGGCCAGGGCCGAGGCTTTTTCCCCTTCCTGATAAGGAACAGTAGTACTGGCCGCAGCAGGCACTGGCGCGCGCGCCGCGGTCGCGCGTGTGTGGAAAACGAGAGCCGCGCACGCCCGCCGCCGGGATTCACTGTTCCGGCGTGAGCCGTGTGGCTTTTCGCGCATTCTGACGCGGGCCCGTGTCCGTGGTCTGCCCCGGTCTCCGTGGGATCGGCGGCGCGGCACACGGGAGGCGGCGGGCGGGAGGGTAGGCCAAGGCGGCTTTTTCACGTCGTTAGTTCGTCGTCGGATAGCGCTGTCAAGCCTGGGCATGTCGCCATGTCCGGGCTGCCGGGCTGGCTTGGCGTTGTAGCCTGGGCAACAGTTTCTTCTACGCACGAGGGCGAAGGGCTGACGGTGGCCAGAATCGGCGGCTGGGAGAGGGACGAAGGGGTCGATCATCAAATCACCATGGTATGTAGCGTTTGGTTGCTCGATCTATTTGATCTCCTCCTCGTTGGTCCCGACGGATTCGGTGTTTGCTTGCTTGGAGTACTTGAGTACACACCTGACTCTGACGGTTGCTCGGAGCGGACGTATGAGTGCCGTGCAGAACCGATGGATTTGTTGGTGTAGCGAATCGTATCACCTTTTTTATATTCTGCAAAAAAAAGACGTGCTGCTTGTAGCTGCGTCGCTTTTTCGTCCATCTTTCTGCTCGCTCAGTTCAAAAAATAATAATCAATTCTCGCTTAACGAGGACACAACTTTGATCATAATTATAAAAAAATGCTAACATTTATAATTTAAAATAAGTATCAACAGATTAATGGCAGAATATATTTTTATAATAAATCTTATTTGAGACATAAATATCAATGCTAATCACTATAAACTTGGTCAAATAGTCATCTTGACCGGTACAAGTCCCATAGTTGCATTCTTTTTGAGACGGATGTAGTATAATAGTATAATAATAAGCTTAACAACTCCAACAGCTTGGTTATTCTTGTTGTGGAGACAATTTTAAAATTTCTATAGCAAAAAATAGACTCCAACAAGTGTGATATCTGACTTTGTAAAATAGAAAGTTGGCTATCCCTTAATTTTCGGTGACCATATATAGCAAGTCACGGACGCTACCTATCTAACTTTGTAAAATAGCAAGGCTGATGTGGATCTCTTCTTTTTTAAGGAGTTTTCTATTTTACAAAATTGCTAAACAATAGAATTTGGCTACTAATTTTAGCCAACCTATTGGAGTTGCTCTCCTCACTCCGTCCCTAAAAGAGCGTGGCTCATGCGGATCAATCTTTTTTAAATTTGATTGGATTTTTAAAAAATATTAATAATATTTTATGTCCAAATATGTTTATTATGAAAATATATTTAATGATTTATCTAATAATATTAATTATACAATATAAATGTTAATGTTTTTCTTACATATATTTGATCAAAGTTAGAAAGTGTTTGACTTCTCGGGAAGCGAGGACGACACTTTTTTTAGGGACCGAGGGAGTAGTCTTTATGCTGAATCTAATTATCAACTCTAAAACATTAGACATTTATAAAATCAAATGCTCCAAAACTAGTCCAAAATGTATCGGAAACAATGAAAGAACATCGACAGTTGTATCATCGGGTACAACATACAGATTCATCACCTTCAACCCTTATTCATCATGTATGACTGATTTCCTCTCCGTGACCATCGACAATATAAGATCAATGACACAGAGTTACCGTCTTCATGGGGAGTGCTCAAGAGTACCCCTCTCCTTGCAAATAATGGCAACAAATTGGTCCTCTACCGATGAAATCGACACAGCAGTGATAACCTCACTATAGAAATCTGCAAAGTCATCATAGATAACAACATCCTGACTAAAAAACATTTGATTTCGTTCTAGATTTATTTGGGCTAAATTGTAAGCAAACTAGATCTAAACTACTATAAAGAGAGATGGGTTGTGTGATATATATCAATGAATTGGGTTGGTGGGAGTAGACCTGAGCAAATTCGACCTAGCTCGGGCCCGCTCATGCCTACCGGTTTTGGCCAGGCCCACAAACCTTAGTAATAGGTAGAGCTTGAATAGAGATTCCACTGTCCATGAACTTTTTTCTCAATCCGAGGCTAGCCTAAAATAATTATTTTGAATTATTTTCTTATTGAAAATGCTTGGGCGGCCTGACTTGTCCCATGGCACGGTGCCACGGTTACCCCAAACAAATGTGCTTTTTTGCTTGCCATGGCCCAAAAAATGCTCAAGGGTCTAGGAGAGAGTGTGCACTAGTACAGAAATGATTTTTTTACCAATGGTCTGATTCAGTTTTTAGGGCCACTTAAAAAAACACCACTATGCCATCGATTTTAAAGATAGGGAGTCTGTAGCATCGGGGATCTAACCGTCCCTAGAAAAGCATTTCTAGGGATGGTTCCATTAGGATAGCTGATGTAGACAAGGTCCGATCTTCTGAAAGGTACGATAGTGTCGATTGTGAGACTTGACGTTTATGATCTAGGCTTCGAACCAAGACTGATTCGGAATCAACGGGAATCGTGGTCACAAGTCGGCGTCCAGAATCTGCCAGGGTGCTGCGACACCGTCTTTTGGTCCGATGGATCATGTATCGTGTTTGGGCCTATTAGGGACGCATCTAGGGGTCTTGCACGACCCTAGAGTCTTCATAAACAGCCGCCACCCCCTCTATTAGGGTTTAGGTTTTGTTTAGTTCTTGATTTCCTCATGAAACAGACATTATTTTGCTGCAACTGTACCGCCAAGGCTGCTTGCTATGAACCAGAGCCCCAGTTCTTGATCTTGTTCACCTGTGGTGATTAGTCCTTTCGAATAAAGACTTGAACTCCTTATTTTCATAAGCCTCATATCTATTTGCAATTTCAGATTGCATTCATCTCGTTCTTGCTTGTGTTCTCGATTCGCTTGTAGGAAAGCCTTCTCGGCGAGGTCAATCGCGTTCGCGTGGTTGATAACCAACGGAGTAGTGGTGTAACGGTTGCGGGGGTCCGAATCAGTCTTGCTTCGAAGCCTAGATCATTAACGTCGAGTCTCCACCAATCGATGTTATCATACCTTTTGGAAGATCATGCCTTGTCTATATCAAGTGGTATTAGAGATCTTGTTGCTCGTTAGGTATAACTTTGTTTTCCCTTTAGATTATTACTGTTTTTGCATTATCTATAGTCCATAAAAAGTTAAAAAAATATATGCCACCACATATTCCCTATCCTATAGTCTCATTGTGCCGTGCAATTTCGTTTCTGTTTCGCGTTGTTGAGTTTGTGCCCTAGGTCAAGTTCT